GCAGGAGAAGCAGGCTTCGCGCAGTCCTCCTCTCCCTCTCCTCTCTCCAGCGCCCTTGGCCTGGGCTCCCCTGCCCCCACCCAAGCACAGGGCCCGCCTCTGGGCAGCCTCCTGGGCCATGGCCCCCTGGGTGCCCACATCCCGGCAGCTGCCCCTAAAAGCCACTTAGGCTGAGGCCCCATGGCTGCTCCCTACCCCCACCCCTGCAATTCCTGGCTGAGGCTGCCTCAGGCTCCCGCCCGGCTGGCCACTTCCATCTGTCTGTCTGCATGTCCAGAGGCTGCCTGTCCGGCCTGTGGCTGGTCTCCCTGGACACAGCCTGGTGCTGCCACCCTTGGAGCCTGTGAGGGTGGCTGTGGGCAGTGTGAGTCACCACGTACCCCACACACCACTCCTGGTGAGGCTTAGGGGGTCACCCCACATCAACCAGGGCCACCCAAAACCTGGCAGGCTGTAGCTTCAGGGCAACAGCAGAGTCAGGAAGGTGGCTGGATGGGAGCCCCCAGCAGGGTAAGGGGGTAAGGGGGCTTGCAGACCTTTCCCCCTAGCTGGGGCAGACTCCCCTGATCAGCCTTGGGCATACGTCAGCGTTCCCTGGCCCAGGACTCAGCTGATTACTCCTCCCAGTGACTGAAGATGGGATAGGGGGCCGGAAGCAGTGGCTCACGCCTGTAATCCCAGCACTTTGGGAGGCTGAGGCAAGTGGATCACCTACGGTCAAGAGTTCGAGACCAAGCCGGGCGCGGTGGCTCAAGCCTGTAATCCCAGCACTTTGGGAGAATGAGGCGGGTGGATCACGAGGTCAAGAGATCAAGACCAACCTGGTCAACATGGTGAAACCCCGTCTCTACTAAAAATACAAAAAATTAGCTGGGCATGGTGGCACGTGCCTGTAATCCCAGCTACTCAGGAGGCTGAGGCAGGAGAATTGCCTGAACCCAGGAGGCGGAGGTTGCGGTGAGCCGAGATCGCGCCATTGCACTCCAGCCTGGGTAACAAGAGCGAAACTCCGTCTCAAAAAAAAAAAAAAAAAAAAAAAAAAAAAAAGAGTTCGAGACCAGCCTGGCCAACATAGCAAAACGCCATCTCTACTAAAAAGACAAAAAAAATTAGCCATGGTGGCACACACCTGTAATCCCAGCTACTAGGGAGGTTGAGGCAGAAGAATCGCTTGAACCCAGAAAGCAGAGGTTGCAGTGAGCCAAGATGGTGCCACTGGACTCCAGCCTGGGTGACAGCCAGATTCTCAGGGGAAAAAAAAAAAAAAAAAAAGCCGGCACAGTGGTTCACACCCGAAATCCCTGAACTCTGGGAAGCCGAGGCAGGTGGATCACCTGAGGTCAGGGATTCGAGGTCAGCCTGGCAAACGTGGTGAAACGCCATCTCTACTAAAAATACAAAAATTAGCCAGGTGTGGTGGCTAATGCCTGTAATCCCAGCTACTCGGGAGACTGAGACATGAAAATCACTTGCACCAGGAGATGGAGGTTACGGTGAGCCAAGATCATGCTATTGCACTCCAGCCCGGGAGATGGAGTGAGACTCCATCTCAAATAAAAATAAGAATGATTTTTTAAAAGATAGGTTGGGGAGCAGTGCGATGGAGGGAAGGGCCACCAGGGATGGGAGGTCACAACCAGGGCCTGGAACCACGGAAGTATCACTGGACACACTGCCACTACAAAGTAACAAAGGAGTCCCCAAAGCCAAGAAGGAGCTGAAGAAGGGCTGAGGAAGGTAACAGAGTAGCAAAGGGCTGGGCAACAAAGGAAGTGGGCCTGGCAAAGGGGTAGCCCGGAGCAGGATGAATTGAGGCAGTCAGAGAGGAATTGGAGGTCACAATTTCAGAGGAGGTGCAGTCCTTGAGAGGGGACAATGAGTCCGGGGGCCTGGAGGAACAGGCGAGGAAGGGTGACTCAGCAGCTCTGGGGGGTGGGGGTGGGGGTGTAAACCCTCCCAGGCCTCTTCTCCAGCCAGCCCCCGGAAGCTCTTAGCCTTGCTCCCAGGCTGACCTCAGTCCTCACAGGTGCTGCGCTAGAGGCAGAGCAAGGCGAAGGGAAGAGCCTGGGCAAAGGTGCTTAGGGGCTGTCAAGTGCTTGGAGTTTCAACAAAAGGGCTACGGAGGCTGGGTGCTGTGGCTCACGCCTGTAATCCCAGTATTTTGGGGGGTTGAGGCAGGCGGATCACGGGGTCAAGAAGATTGAGACCATCCTGGCTAACACAGTGAAACCCTGTCTATACTAAAAATGCAAAAAATTAGCTGGGCGTGGTGGTGCACACCTGTAGTCCCAGCTACTTGGGTGGCTGAGGCAGGAGAATCGCTTGAACCTGGGACGCAGAGGTTGCAGTGAGCCAAGATCGCACCACTGCATTTTTTGAGGCTCCATCTCAAAAAAAAAAAAGAAAAAAAGAAAAGAAAGAAAAAGAAAAAAAGGACTAGGGAGGTGGGTGGGAGGGAGTAGGATCAGCTCCTAGAGGAGAGTGGACTTTCTTTTGCTAGTTCTGCAGGGTTCATGTGGGGTGACGAAGGCCTCCCAGGGCAGCAGCAGCAGGGAAGAAAGTCAAGTCAGGGCGATTGGAGGCTTGGGAGATCCCCCCTCCCCACCCAACCCTCTTGTCCCCAGCATGCTACCCAGGCACTAGTCCTGTGCAGCAGAGGGAGAGCAGGTCTCGCCTTCGCCGCTGCGCTGTGGGTGGGGGGTCCACCCAGGTGGGGGCTGCCCCTGCTCTCCTGTTGCCGCAGGACCTTTCTTCCGGGCCTTGAACCCGCATCTCTCCAGCAAGGCCCCAGCGATGTCAGGGAGCCCGAGCCTGGGCCTGGACGTGGGCTATGTGGTGTGGCCGTGGTCTGGGGCCCTGACTGGGGGTGAGGCCGCTAATCCGACGCCTCAGTACTGGCCCAGAGCTGCTCAGGCAGACGCAGCTTCCTAATGGACATTAATGGCCCCGCAAGCATACCCGGACTGCGCCTAGGACCTCTCCCTTCAGACCTGCACCGCGCCTCCCTTTAAATTCCGAAACTGGAGCAGGAGAGACGAGCTCGACAGGAGAACGTGACCAACAGAGACCCAGACGCGAGAGGGAGAGAGAAGGGGAGGGCTGCGACGACCCAAGAGAAAGGAGGTGGAGGACCGCACCGCCTCGGACGGGGCGGCCCCGCCCATCCGCTGTGGTCCCGCCCACTGCGGCTTTAGCCCCGCCCATTGCTGGGGGCGTGGGTCGGGGGGCTGCCTCCCGGAACCATGGCCACGCAGCGCCATCTGGCAGGAACTGCTGGCATTGCATCGTCCGAGGAGTTGCCGCAGGTGCCCCGCCCCTCTGACTTCCTTTGATCCAGTCCTGGGGGGTGGGAACTGGAGTGAGGATGGTGCCCTAGGGCTGGGGCGCTGCAGAGGAGTAAGGGTGTGGAATGAGGGAGGCAGAGGAGCCCCTAGTCGGTTTTGCCTCCTCATCTTGGACCTGACAATCACCAGGGAACATCGCTGAAACCCCCCAAAAACAGCGCTTTGAGCATCTTGGCCTGTGCAAGGAGAGGCGAGAGCTGAAGCAGTCTCAGGAAGGATATTTAGCCCGGCCTGTGGTCCTGGAGTCCTCTTTCAGGGAGGGAGCTCCCATGCTGTCCTGGAACCTGCAGTCTGGAGCAGGTGGTGGGGACGAGGAGGGGGTAGTGGGAGGGGTGGTGACAGCTCGCCCTGCCAGAACACCAGTATTGTCCCATAGGCAGTGGGGAGCCCTTAAGGCGTGGTGTGGGGGGTGACAAGGTCAGGACATCCATGTTCTTAGAGGTCAGGTTTGGTGACAAACAGGGGCAGGAGTGGGAAGGAATGAGCTCACAGGGAGGAGAATGGTCACCCTGTGGGGTGTGTGACTACCTTTTCACCCAGCACAGAGCCTGAGGGAGGGTTAGATGGAACCAAGGGATCCATAAGAATTGGCTGGTGCGCCGGGTGCTGTGGCTCACGCCTGTAATCTCAGCACTTTAGTAGGCAGAGATGGGCGGATCACCTGAGGTCAGGAGTTCAAGACCAGCCTGGCCAACATGCTGAAAACCCATCTCTACTAAAAAGACACAAAAATTAGCTGGGCATGGTGGCGGGCACCTGTAATCTCAGCTACTGGGGAGGCTGAAGCAGTAGAGTCGTCTGAGCCTGGGAGGCAGAGAGGCAGAGGTTGCAGTGAGCTGAGATAGTGCTACTCCAGGCTGCAAGACAGAGCAAGACTCCATCTCAAAAAAAGAAAAGAAAGAAACTGAAAGAAAAGAAAGAATTGGGGGTGTGGAGATAAAAAGAGCACCCACATTTGGGAGAAGGACACACCTCGGAGATGGAAAGGCCCTACCAGTGAGGGAGTGCGGCTTCCAGAAGCGGGGGTGGGGAGCTACTTCCACGGGGCATCCTGAAGCCAGGCCCAGGACCACCCCTCCCCCAGCCTTTGCTGAGAGAATCCTGCCAGATGGCCACGGGAGGGCTCCAAGGGTGGGCTGCATCAGGGCAAGTGACCTCGGTGGTTTGGGGTCCAGGACAGCCCTTGGAGTCCCAAGCCAGATTAGAGAGGGTTGAAAAGGGAGTGGGAGGGAGGAGGGGCCCAGATCTTGGGAGGGGAGGTGGAGGGGGCAAGGGTGGAGGGAGGCCCTCGCTGTTCAAAATGGCAGGGCACATTTATGTGGGGGGCTGGAGCCAGTGACCAGAAGTGCATGCAGAGGGTCACAAGATGTAGAGGAGCTCCTGAGGTAGCAAGGGGGCTCAGTGGAGGGGCCACTTCTCCATAGGAGGGGAGCATGGCCCAGAAGAAGGGAACCAGGGGTTCTTAATCCTCTGCGGAAGACTTTGGCTGAGGGAGGGAGGGGGTGCCGGGAGACCCCGTTGTGAATTGAATGCTGAGTGCCTGGCGCTTCCCCTGGTCGGCGAGGGAGGGACCACTGACATTTGCCAGGGCGTGGGCGCGCCTGTCTGGTCCCTGAGCTAGACGGCAAAGTACACAGGCAGACGAAGGGGTCCGACGCGGGGGCGCAGGAGTCAGGTGGATTTTATTGACCGGAGAGCAGGCCGGGGCTGTGAGCAGCGCCCGGAAGCCGCAGCAACTCCTCCTGGGTCAGGCGCGGAGGCGCGGGGGGACGTGGGGACGCTGTCAGGACGGTTCGAGGGCCAGGCGGGGCCAGCCAAGGCGATTTGCTGCGGGGACCATGGCTGGGCGGGAGACGTCTCTCCGAAGTCTCTAGCGAGAACAGAGCAAGGCCGTGGGGAGGGGGCCGTGCGCCCTCCACCGCCGCCCCCGGATGCCACGGTCAAGCCTGTCCCAAGAAAGCCTTTGTGGGAGCGGAGCAGGGGATGAAAGGGCCCCAGGGTGCCCCCTAAACGCGCAGCTCGGTGCTCTGGCTCAGACCTCCCAAGACCCCCTTGCCCGCGATGGTCCAGGCCTCCTCCCCTCTCACGTACCTGGCCGGCTCCCCCGAAGTCCAGGAACTCAGGTTCGCGTGCAGGCTCCGGGGCGTGCTGGCTCCCGGGCGCACGGACGGGGATCCCTGCCTCGGAGCTCCTGCGTTGCGCCTCCCACAGCTCCTGAACCCACGAGGGCGGCAGGAGAGGAGGCTCGCGGGCGGCGGGCCCGGGGGAGAGGGTGTCCCTGGCCAGGGTCTCGGCGGCCGGGTGCAGCGCGCGGCGCCACAGGTAGGGTGAGCGGCGCAGCCCCATGAGCAGGCCGGCGGCGCGGCCCACCGTGTGATAGCGGGGACTCGCCACGTGCTTGTACCAGGCGCTGGCGGGCAGCGGCAGCAGGAGCAGGAGGAGCGGCAGCGCCAGCCGCAGCCGGCTCGCGGGAACCTCCCGCACCCCCCGGCCCGGCGCCAGGGCGCTCGAGTCGACGGCCGCCCTGCGGGGCGGGCCACGAACCAGCTCGGTTGGGTTTGGACGCGCGGCGGAGTTGGGACGCCGGGTACCGGAGCCCAGGAGGCAGGAGGCTAGAGGCGAGCCGTGGGTCCCCTGCGGGTCCAGCTTTAAACGCTCGGTGGCCCCGCCTCGGTCCGCCCCTGCGGTACCCGCTGGGCTCCCCAGATGGGAGGAGGGGCAGAGGAAGGAGAGGGAACCCCCGCAGCTGGCGGGGGACATGGGTTCCGGAACACCTCACTGAGTGGGCCGCTGGTTGGAACTGGGCTCGAGGCTCCCCTAGGGGGCCACGTCCCCTTTTCTGCCTGCTCAGCCTCCTCCCCCCAGGAGCGGAAGTGCCAGGGAGGGGTTCCTGGGACCATGGGTCTCAGGGGCCACTGATGAGGGAGTAGGGGTGAGGGATGCCCCTTTAGCCAGAGCTCCTGCAGGCGGGCGCCAGCAGAGCAAATGGCCAGGGACCGGAAGAGCTACAATGGCTATCACAGGAGGGTTATTGGGCACCCTCAGCACCGTTCAAGACCCTTCTGGGTGATCCCCTGCAAGAGTTGTCCCTTGTCCATGCCTAGCACAGCTCCCAAAGCTGTCCTCACATCCTGTCCTGTCTTCTGCCACCGCCTGCTTCTCTCCACCAATCCATCTCCCAGCAGAGCTGAATGGAGGCTTAGAAGCCTCATGTTGGCCACACCAAGCCAACCCTGAGGTCTCTGCTTCCCCGAGGCCTCCAGGAGAAAGACTCAAGCTCTTCATGAACTTCTAACTCTGAAGGGGCAGGACAAGACCTTGCAGACTTCCAGAGCCTCGTCCCTGGGCATGGTTCCCCCAGAGGTCTCAATTTTTGTCTGAACCAACAGCCTGTGGCTTTGCCTGCATCTGTGCGTCTGGGCCTAGAGCATCGTTCCCTCCTTCTCGGCATGGCCAACTCCTATTCATTCTCCAGGATTCCACTAAGTGGCCCAGGTCCTTGGCCAGGCGCGGTGGCTCATGCCTGTAATCCCAGCACTTTGGGAGGCTGAGGCAGGTAGATCACCGGAGTTCAAGACCAGCCTGACCAACATGGTGAAAACCCATCTCCACTGAAAATAAAAACACTTAGTTGGGTGTGGTGGTGGGCAGCTGTAATTCTAGCTATTTGAGAGGCTGAGATAGGAGAATCGCTTGAATCCGGGAGGCAGAGGTTGCAGTAAGCCGAGATTGTGCCACTGCACTCCAGCCTGGGCAACAGAGCCAGACCCCGTCTCAAAAAAAAAAAAAAAAAAAAGGCACAGGGCCAGACAGTTCCCCAGAATATCCCTCTGTGCCCACCTGGGCTTAACAGCCCCCTCTCAGCCAGGCGATGTGGCTAATGCCTGTATTCCCAGCACTTTGGGAGGCTGAGGTGGGCAGATCACCTGAGGTTAAGAGTACGAGACCATCCTGGCCAACATGGTGAAACTCCATCTCAAAAAAGCTAGCTGGGTGTGGTGGCACATGCCTGTTGTCCCAGATACTCAGGAGGCTGAGGCAGGGAAATTGCTTAAACCTAGGAGGCGGAGGTCTGAACTGAGATCATGCAATACTCTGTCTCAAAAAAAACAAACACCAAAAAACAGCCCCCTCCCAGAGGGCAGAGGACTCTTCCCGGAACTCCCAGAAAAGGTGAATCCAGCCCTCCCTCAGTAACCACACCAGTCATGGGGCAGCCCCTGGGTCCCAGACACTAGAAATCTTGTTTCGAGTCATCATGAACTATCTCAACTGACCTCCAGACAGTGCCATGGATGGAACTATTATTGACTCCACTCCCCAACAAGGAAACTGAGGCCCAGGGAGAAGTTACCTGCCCCAGATCCTGTTGGGTAAATGGTGGAGGTGAGATACATGCTAGCTAGTGAGCCCAAGAGCCTCAGCTTGGGGGAACAGGGGGGTATCCCTGTCCAGAAGGGCACAGAAGGGCTGGGGGCAGGTTGGGCACGGTGGCTCATGCCTGTAACCTCAGCACTTTAGGAGGCCAAGGTGGGTGGATTGCTTGAGGCCAGGAGCTCAAAACCAGCCTGGCCAATACAAAATTTAGCCAGGCGTGATGGTACACACCTGTAGTCCCAGCTACTCGGGAAGCTGAGGCAAGGAAACCATTTGAACTTGGGAGGCAGAGGTTGCAGTGAGCCAGGATGGCGCCACTACACTCCAGCCTGGGCGACAGAGCAAGACTCCATCCCAAAAAACAAATAAACAAACAAAAACAGAAGGTCTGAGGGCAGAGTCAGGCCGACTCCTGAGGTGCGAGGGGCCCGGGGGGCTCTAGTGAGCCTCAGGAGATTTAGAAGCAGCAGCCCTCTTTTTTTTTTTTTTTTTTTTTTTTTTTTTTTTTTTTTTTGTGAGACGGAGTTTCGCTCTTGTTACCCAGGCTGGAGTGCAATGGCGCGATCTCGGCTCACCGCAACCTCCGCCTCCTGGGTTCAGGCAATTCTCCTGCCTCAGCCTCCTGAGTAGCTGGGATTACAGGCACGCGCCACCATGCCCAGCTAATTTTGTGTATTTTTTAGTAGAGACGGGGTTTCACCATGTTGACCAGGATGGTCTCGATCTCTTGACCTTGTGATCCGCCCACCTCGGCCTCCCAAAGTGCTGGGATTACAGGCTTGAGCCACCGCGCCCGGCGCAGCAGCCCTCTTCACAAAGGCCCTCCCTGTTCGGGGCATCATGGTGAGGTGATAAGGCTCTCGGCCTCTCCTACCTCAGTTTCCTCATCTGTAAACAGGGGGTAGAAACAGTGGCCACTTCATCATTTTGTTGGCATTGATAATTCAGAGGTGGGTCTGGGAACTGAGCTGTGCCTGGTACCCAGTGGGCACTCAATGAACGCTGTGGCTAGGATCTAGCCTTGCTGCGCCAGGGGATGACCACCCCCAGCCTGTCAGGAAACACGGTGACGGGGCAGAATGGGGGATGCAGTCAGAGCTGTCTGCGCTACCTGGAGGACCCCAGGGACCAGAGGCCCTGCAAGAAGCTGTCCTCGCTGCGCTCCCCCAGGGCCCCTTGTCCTTGCGAGATGCCTGGAGTGTGTGGTGGGCGGGCAACACAGCACGATACAGGCCAGAGCCAGGCCCCATCAGGGTCCCTTGGCGCTGCCGCCCGCTCCCAGCTAAGGTGACGTGGGCGTCTCTGGAGCCCTGGGGGACTGTAGCCCAGTCCAGAGAGAGTCCAGGATGCCCCCTGGAGGTGGCCCGGGTAGCTTCTGCAGGGGGAACTGCTGAAACTGATCAATGAAAGTCTAATGTGGGATGGAAGTCTCCGTGCCAGAAAACAGAAGGAGAGCTGTAACAGCATAGACACATCTCAAAAATGCAATGGCGTACAAAGGAAAAAACTCCCTGCGGCACTGTAGGTTCCGTGTGCTGCCATTTTCTGAGCTTAAACCCCAGCAGTGGGCTGGGCCAGGTGGCTCATACCTGTAATCCCAGCACTTTGGGAGGCCGAGGCGGGCGGATCACCTGAAGTCAGGAGTTCAAGAATAGTCTGGCCAACATGGCAAAACTCCATCTCTACTAAAAGTACAAAAATTAGCAGGGCATGGTGGCAGGCACCTGTAGTCTCAGCTACGCAGGAGGCTGAGATAGGAGAATCCCTTGAACCCAGGAGGCAGAGGCCCCAGTGAGCTGAGATCACACCACTGCACTGAGCCACTGCTCAAGGCAGGCACCTGCCTGCCACAGGCACGAAGCCTGGCCCCGAACAGGAACTCCCTGGTAAGGAGGAGATGAGGGAGCAAATCTGTTTTGTCATCTTTAAAATTACCGGTCAGGTGTGGCATCATGGCTCATGTTTGCAATCCCAACACTTTGGGAGGTGGAGGGGGAGTGAGAGAGCAGCCTGGGCTTTTTTAAGTCGGAGTCTCTCTCTGTCACCCAGGCTGGAGTGTCGCAGTGGGATCTTGGCTCACTGCAACCTCCGCCTCCGGGTTCAAGAAATTCTCTTGCTTCAGCCTATCAAGTAGTGGGATTACAGGCATGCACCACCACACCCAGCTAATTTTTGATTTTTAGTAGAGATGCTGTTTCACCTTGTTGGCCAAGATGGTCTCGACCTCTTGACCTCATGATCTGCCCACCTGGTCTTCTCAAAGTGCTGGGATTACAGGAGTGAGCCACCATGCCCAGCCCACTGCTGGGATTTAAGCTTAGAAAATGGCCTTTTCTCTTTTTTTTTGTTTTTGTTTTTGTTTTTGTTTTGAGATGGAATCTCTGTGTTGCCCAGGTTGGAGTGCAGTGACACAATCCCAGCTCACTGAAACCTCTGCCTCGCAGGTTCAAGAGATTCTTCTGCCTCAGCCTCCTGACAGCTGGGACTACAGGCGTTCACCACCACGTCCTGCTAATTTTTGTATTTTTAGTAGAGTTGGGGTTTCACCATATTGGCGTGGCTGGTCTTGAACTTCTGACCTCATGATTTGCATGATGTCAGCAACCCTGGCCTCCTGGTTCAAGCGATTCTCCTGCCTCAGCCTCCCAAGTAGCTGGAATTACAGTTATGCACCACCATGCCTAATTTTCTATTTTTTTTTTTTTTTTTTTTTTTTTTTTAGTAGGGATGAGGTTTCTCCATGAAGGTCAGGCTGGTCTTGAAGTCCTGACTTCAGGTGATCTGCCTGCCTTGGCCTCTCAAAATACTGGGATTATAAGGGAGCCACCACGTCTGGCCTACAATTTTTTTTTCTTTTTTTTTTTTTTGAGATGGAGTTTCGCTCTTGTTACCCAGGCTGGAGTGCAATGGCGCGATCTTGGCTCATCGCAACCTCCGCCTCCTGGGCTCAGGCAATTCTCCTGCCTCAGCCTCCAGAGTAGCTGGGATTACAGGCACGCGCCACCATGCCCAGCTAATTTTTTGTATTTTTAGTAGAGACGAGGTTTCACTATGTTGACCCGGATGGTCTCGATCTCTTGACCTCGTGATCCACCCGCCTCGGCCTCCCAAAGTGCTGGGATTACAGGCTTGAGCCACCGCGCCCGGCCTTTTTTTTTTTTTTTTTTTTGAGACGGAGTTTCGCTCTTGTTACCCAGGCTGGAGTGCAATGGTGTGATCTCGGCTCACCGCAGCCTCCGCCTCCCGGGCTCAGGCAATTCTCCTGCCTCAGCCTCCTGAGTAGCTGGGATTACAGGCACGCGCCACCATGCCCAGCTAATTTTTTGTATTTTTAGTAGAGACGGGGTTTCACCATGTTGACCAGGATGGTCTCGATCTCTCGACCTCGTGATCCACCCGCCTCGGCCTCCCAAAGTGCTGGGATTACAGGCTTGAGCCACCGCGCCCGGCTTTTTTCTTTTTTTTTTTTTTTGAGATGGAGTTTTGCTCAGTTGCCAGGCTGGAGTGCAGTGGCGCAATCTCAGCTCACTACAACCTCCAACTTTCAGATTTAAGCGATTCTCCTGCCTCAGCCTCCTGAATAGCTGGAATTACAGGTGCAAGGCACCACACCTGGCTAATTTTTTGTATTTTTAGGAGAGACAGGGTTTCACCATGCTGGCCAGGATGGTCTGGATCTCTTGACCTCGTGATCTGCCCGCCTCAGCCTCCCAAAGTGCTGGGATTACAGGTGTGAGCCACCACACCCGGCCTAAAAATTTATTTTGTAGAGACAGGGCCTGATTATGTTGGCCAGTCTGGTCCGATTTTGTTGGCCAGCTAAACTGGCCAGGAACCAGGCCACCCAGCCTCCCAAAGGGCTGGAATTACAGGCTTGAGCCACTGTGACCGGCAGCTTTTTTCAGTAAGTGGAGAAACTGGGGCTTCAAGCCCATTTCTGTCTGTTTCTAAAGTCCAAGCTCACTGGGCTTAGATCACTTGAGCCCAGGAGGTTGAGGCCTCAGTGAGCTGTGAACGTACCACTGTGTTCCAGCTAGAGCAAGACCCTGTCTCAAATAAATAAATAAGTAAAGTTGAGGCCTCTTCTACAGTATACTGCCTCTTTTCTAGAAGGGTTCGGATCTAGACCAGCCTTCTCGATGGCAGAGGGAGGAAGGTCCTGAGTGTGCCT